TAGAAGACGGTGCAGAGGCGGTAAGGGTATCGGAGAAGCCTTCAAGTTCTTGGAAATCTAGGAAACTGTTTTTAAAGACCCCTGGGTGGTGGAGGATGTGAAAGATTTTCAATCTAAATGGAGTGTTTTGAGGCGGCAGCGCAGTCTTTGGAGTACATACTGGGGCACGTGCTCAAGAATCGAGAGTCGGAGAGCTTCGGAGATTGCGTGCGGTGCTATTTGTGCGATTGACGGACAGACGATGATGAATTGTGAATACAACGTCCATGATTTTCGCTGACTTTTGAACCAAGAGATGTTCTTTTTCGAAACATCTTGGGAGGCACGTCAGGCTCATCGTCTACCTTGAGGCACCCGACGAGGCCATCAGAGAGCTTCAGATGACGGTAGAAAATAAGATTGACTAAGACGTTGAACTGTCTCGAAGCAAGACGCAGATTGCATAAGGAAGCCGGCGCAGTATCATGAACTTCTTCGAACATTAGTAGGAGGATATCTGCCGGGCATTCTCTCTGCTGCAACGGAATATTCGCGCTCATCTTTGTAAGTGGTGCAGGCTGATACCGTTAGAGGCTATAAAATATGGTTGAAAGACGGCAGCCTTGCCGCTGACATGCTGCTCAGAAGTAGGACTGATGTGGAAGTCATATTGGGACTAGCGTCAGACTCGAGTAGTTACAACGAAGAATGCTTGGGGTTCAAGGGAAGATGACGATAGCACAAAAACCCCATAGTCTATTGATTTACAACTGCTCGTCAAATATGCTGACACTTTTCTTCTCTTTCTCCCTCTCACTCTTTCACAAAGACGGCAGCCATACCCATCCCCGTACCGACACACATGGATGTAACACCGATTCTCTTTCCCGTCCTTCCCAGCTCATTAAAGAGCGTCGCCACTTGTCTCGCACCGGTACAGCCCAGTGGATGGCCCAAAGCAATTGCACCTCCGTTGGGATTGACCTTGTTGAAGAATCAGCGATGAACCACAGCGCAACTCACGAGCAGAGTAAACATACCTTCTTCTCATCTAATCTCAACTCCCTAACACACCACAAACATTGACTGGCAAAAGCCTCATTAATTTCAAAGACATCCACCTCGTCCTTAGATATCCCTGCTTTCTCCAGAGCAACAGGAATAGCTTTCCATGGGCCAATTCCCATAAGGAGTGGCTTGACTCCAACTATAGAGCTGGACACGAATTTACCAACAACATTCTGACCTAGCCTCTCCGCTGTGCTCCTCTTCATCAACAGAACTGCAGCGGCACCATCGGTGATTTGCGAAGCATTGCCCGCATGAATAGAACCATCCTTAGCAAAAGCAGGCTTAATCCTGCCTAGACTCTCGGCTGTAATGCCATCTCGTATCCCATCGTCCTTATCGACCGTAATCACCTTCTCCTCGTCCGTTTTCATATCCACAAACTTCACATTGTGCAGTGGGGCGATCTCCTCATCGAATTTCCCTTCCTTCTGCGCTTTAAGAGCTTTTTGATAGCTCGACGCTGCGAATGAATCTTGATCTTTCCTCGATATCGACCGATCTTTTGCCATCTGCTCGGACAGCACGCCCATAGGTACTTTGCAGTTTTTAGCTTCGGGGTCAGATTCGAGCAAATCGGAGAATTCGGTTACTGCCCCAGGACCATACTGAGAGCTCATGCTTTCAACACCTGAGCCGATGCCTATATCAATCATGCCCTACGCAGATTCGAGAGTCAGCATTGCTTGTTTACGAAACAGGTCTCTGGAGTAGAAGGAGGGGTTCTCCCGAACTATATCTTGCAACTCAAATTCTGGCAAAGGATTGGGAAGAACAGCTCGGAAATCTACGTACCGAACGAATGGCATTGGCAATATCAGCACATGCTTGTAATCCACTCGAGCATTGTCTGTTCAGACTCTTCACAGCTGTACTCTCGGGAAATCCAGCAACGAGTGCTGCTGCCCGGAACTCAGTAGCTCCTCCGCCGGGCGGTAGCACGCTTCCCACAGCTATATCTTCAACGAGAGAAGGATCGAGTTTCGAGCGGGCGAGCAGGGATTTGAGTGCATGGACTAAGAGATCGGCGGCTGGAGTGTCTTTGAGCCCACCCTTCCCACCTTTAGTGAAAGGAGTGCGGAGAGCACAGGTAATGACGATATCATTGGGGGACTTGGATAGGATAGACTCGCGGCCGAGGGGGATGTCGGCTTCGGAAGAGGCGAGATGAGATTGGACCTGGGAGAGACGCTCGTGTGCTTTCGACATGTTTGATGTCATTAGGTTCATTAAAGTCTCTACTGCTCAAGGAAAAGGATGCGATTCTGAGGGGAATTGTTGGTCTTTTGAGGCGCGCCAAAAACGCCAAAAAGATGGAATGCTTTGAAAAAGAGGAGCCGAGGCACGGACATAATCCGAAGCAAACGCCGATCAGCCTTACAAGTAGAGGGTGGAGGTACATGCTGACTGCATCAACCTCATTATCGATTGTAGGCGTCACTGGAAGAGGTCTGTAAAGATAAGATCATCGGACAAAAGGCAGGGTGATGATACATGAAGCAGACCTTCAATGACATCCTGTAAGCTGATGTCTTATCCTCATACATTGGTTGGAACTATGGCTGCCAATGGCTTGCATATGCAACTCAATGCCGTGCACGATTCTTTGGCCTATCACCATCGACGGCAGCCTTGAGCCTCCGGGCGCCTATTTGACACGATCATCCTAACTTCCATGGGAGCCGCTCCTCCACACGTTAAACCTTGGCAGCAGAACCTCGGCGGGACCTCTGACATCTTACCTTTCGGGCGTTCATCATGAGTGGGATGGAAGTTGTTGCAGTCCTTGGCTGCGTTGCCGCGGTGGTATCAGCCTACAAAGACGGTGGAAAGATTGTAAAACAGATCAAGGCGAAACGAGCTGCGAAGAAAGCATTGGCGCCAACAAAATCACTTGAGAGCTCATTGGAGCGAGGTCCTATAGCCGTGGAGCAAGCAAAGGACAATGGAATCGAGAGATATGGGTCTCTATTTGCTACTGGAGACCGTGAGTACTGATGCGTAGTAGCCTATAAGCCATTTACTGACATTTAGCTTTAGAGATAGCCACCGAAGCTCTCAAGAACATCCTCATTGTCCTCCAAGGGACTCTCCTAAGACATCTATGGTCTGCATCAGAAGATGACAATATGACGGACTTCCACATGTTAGTAGACGCTTCTGATTTTGGACGTATTCAATCCGTCACCGTCCTCAATGAATTGTATATGCGGATGGCACAAGCAGCTCCTCTGCAAAACATGCAGCTGCCGATAGGGGAACCTACGGCAGACTCAGGATCCATATGGGAATATGCAAATCCGACCAGTGCTGCTCCTTCACATCAGGTGGCATCCCAGGTCTTGGCGAAAAGTCCGCCTGTTCCAACTTTGTTTGATCGAAACCTACCACCTGAAGACTCGACATCGAAGAAAGACCCCGGCAAATCGCCTGTCTCTGCGCGGAGAAAATGGGGAGTATTTCCCTCAAGCACGCGCAAACTTGAATCGGAAATAGCTTCGGGAAGCCTCGCACCTAGCAACTCACGAGAATCAGCGCTCGATGATTCTCCGCCAGGCATCAAATTTGGAGGAAATGTATCGTCAACAGGAAATTCATCCTCGCGGGTGACCTCAGAAGGCTCTATTCCCCCAAGAGACTTTGCTGACGATCTGTGGAAGTTATCTTCTGAGTTGTCAATTGATGAAGAGAACCCATGGCGAGAAGAGCCTTCTACTTCGAACGGTGGCGTTAAGAAAGCCGCTGCTCCAGAATTGAGCCCAGCGACAGGAATAACGGCGTACATGCCACGAAGAGAAGCCGCCTCGGTTGAAGACCCCCCAAGACCGTTGCGGGAGCCGAAACCCATGCGGAGGGTAGCCGCCTACAAGCCTCGGAAACAACCGAAATCAGATGCTCCACCTGTGGCAGAGAGCGGAACGCGCCCAGAATCGAAAGGGACGCAGAAGAAGTTCCCATTCATGCCTCGAAGACGAACTACGGCAAACGTAACTCAGGATGCAACACAGCCCCATATGCACAACGTAGCCCACACAATCTCGCCAATCTGCTTACCAACCCAGACCAACCAAAGCGCCCTACTAGGCTCCCGTCACCCATACGGTGGCTACTGCAAAGGCGCTTACAAGCTGCAAGTAGGCCTCGACAAAGAAAGCGTCAATCTTCGCAACCAATCAACATCCATGACAGGCCAATCCAACTACTGGGCCTGTGCTAGCTCCAAATGCGCATACGAAGGGCCAGCTTGTAGGAAGGGGAAGAATTGGACGTTCGATGATACCGTTCGAGTATCCGACGCTGTGCAGTATCGATGGGCCTTTCTAGCCAAATGCCATGTCGCTTTATCCAAAGTCAAGAATGGGCAGTATGATTACCAATGCGTCTTCTGTGGCATCCAGCCACCTTCGAACAACGTATATCGGGGCGAGAAAGCTTTCATCGAGCACGTTTCGCAACAACATCGAGGACGGCAGCCAGACCCGTCGATTCTGGATAAAATATGCTGTATATATGGTAGAGTGGCGCTGGAAGAAGAGGACTTTGATGTCAATTTGACTCCGAAGGAAGACTCACCCCTCGTGCATCGGCAGATATCCGTTGATACCCCTAATCTTCTCACGGGAAGCCCTGATCATAACGCGACGCCAGATGATGAAGTGTTTGAGTGGCCTGCGATTGGAGGTCTGTCGAGTGCTAGCCAGCGGGAATTAGAAGGGTGCCTTCCTTTATTGTAAAACAATGAGTATCACGGCTCCGCTTATGTCATGATTCGGCTTCATTTTCTGTTGGGATCGATTACAGGGAACATTGCCATCCAGTCGTGAAAGGCATGCAAGTTGTCAACGAAGCTTTCGTCCTTGCCACATAGCTGAACCAAGGCCTTGCCTCCTCAGGCCATGGAAGTGACTGTAAGACTAACCCATCGACTATATTCTGTCGACACTATACACACCCTAAACCTCGTCCCCCTCATCATCCCACCCCCCTTCCTCTAACAACGCCCCTCGAACCCTCTCCCTAACTTCCTTAAGCTCACTTCCCAACGCCTCTTCCCACTGGCCTTCTACAACCCCAACCTTTTCCTTCAAATCCTCCGTCAACCTCGTCTCCTCCCTTCTCTGTTCCTCCTCCGCCGCCCAACTCGCATCCTTGCCCTGCGCCTCGACCTTACATCTAGCCGCTAAAGCGTGAGAACGTATCTCATGGAGGAGGCAGAGGAGATTGATCTGGGATTCGATGAACTGATATGTCGATTTCTCCGCGTGGCCGAGGAGTGAGTAGAGATATTGAAGTGGATGGTCGTAGTAGGATGGGTTTTCGGCATATTCGTCCGCTGGGATCTGGACCTCGAAGCCGTCCAGTTGCAAGGGCACTTTATGCAGGACTTCGAGGAGCGAGGGGGCAATATCCCAGAAAGCGGAAAGCTGGAGTTCGACGCCACGGCTCACATTGTTCTCTATGACAGACAGGAAAGCTTGAGCACGCTTGCAAACGGCTTGTTGAAATGTGGATCTGCGTTCTTGCGCGTCTTTTGCAAAGAAGAATTCGGCTTCCACATGCTTCTCCCGGTTCTGGGATTGTTTGTAGGGAAAGAGTACGATAGCTTTATATCTATCATTACGTTCGCTTAGGAGATCATAGATTTGCCGATGCAAAGTCTCGCGGGCTTCAAAGAGCCTAAGCCGATATCGGAGTCAGCATTGCTTAATCAAGGCACGAAAGCTGGGTTAACGACATAGACCTCAGGAGTAGGGGCAGGGGTTTGCTCCAAGACTATGTCTTGTGGCTCAAGATTTGGTAGAAAATAGGGAAGAATAACTCTGAAATGTGCGTACCATTTTAGCTGGGTTAGTTTCTCCAGCAATTCGGGCTGAAAATCGCCTTCTTCTTGAGGCAGGTTCGGGTTCTGCGACTGTGAATCCGAGAAGAGGCGGCTGCTGAGCTTGTCAAGGGAGGCATCGGCTAGTTTGATGCGGTCTGAGAAGAGTGCATGCAGCGGTGTGAGGACAATGTGCTGGTAAAGGTCGAAATCTATTTGAATGATCTCTTTTTCGGAACTTGCAATCTTCTCCTTTAGCTCATTCTCAGCATCATCGAAATCCTCTTGAGAGATTTCGCCGTGCTCAATGCGGAACTCGATATCCTGTCTGTGCAGTGAGCGTTGATGCTTGCACCATGATTCGGCTCGTTGCCTTTTTCCGAGGACTTGCGTGCGATAAGAACTTGTAATAGTTTCTGCTTCCTCCTTCTCGTGAAGTGATCGAACCACGCCCCGTACGTCTGCTAGATCTGGGTGACTGTTGTTGACTGCTGGGTGATGTCGCGGATACGGTGGGGGGAGTGTCACAAGCCGCGAGATGTCTAGTCTTCTCGGGTCAGGAGTGATTGGTGCAGACGAGGGTATTGGGGGAAGGAAAGGTGGTGGAGGTAAAGAGGAATCTTCTTCATGCAAACCAGTCTTTTCTGGGGGGTACTGGTTTGGACCATATGAAGGCTGTCGACTCGCTCCTGAGGGCTGCCATTGCCCGCCCCCTGCTGATACGGAAGTTCGATTTCCATAAAGTGCTGGTGGGTTGCGTGTTTCTTGAGGCACCCCCATATACTTAGATTCGCGTTTTGACCTTTCGAGAACCCTGAAAGCTTCACCCAGTGGGCCATCGCCGGGATGAGAATGATCTTCGAACCAACGGCTAGCAGCTCTGCCCCTTGAATCTTCATCTTGCCCAGTCACAATACTCATACTTGCTATAGGCGAAAGACATGGTACATAGTCTTTCCAATAGGCACTCTCTGGCCGCTGCTGAGTGCTGCTGTTCGTGGTGGCGCTACTGGGAGACTCGTGCTTCCGACTGACGGCGGAGGAATCATCTTGTGAGGAGGAGTCTCCCAAAGCACTAGATGCAATGCTTGTCCGCTTCGACATATTCTGCCTTGATAGACTTTGATGCCGATCGTGAAGGCATTTATCAGTGCTGGAATGCCCGAAGAGGCCTTGTGTCAACTCATCAACCTCTATGCCGTCTTCTTCGAAAACAGAGGCGTACTGCTCTCGCCGTATCCTCGACTCAGCTTTCATGAAATGGACAAAGAGATCGAGCCTCTCAGAGTCATTGGCAGCTGCTGCTTCACGTTCTGCAAAATTTCGATGTCGTTCAATGGCTCGTCCAGCAAAGAGTTTCGGGCTTTCAGGGCCTAGGAGGTCTTCTAGTGGTTCTTGAGCTGCCTTAGTCGATGGGGTCAGAGGAACTTGCATGGAGTCATCGAGGTTTGGCGTGTGAAGAATATGAGACACAGGACGCTGTTCAGGCCCAGGCGGCACAATCAAAGACAATGCTTTGGAAGGACCACTCAGTCGTTTAGGGGGCGATACTGAGAACGTTTGCAGCGGTAAAGAAGGCGATGCGACAGCTGAGGTGGATCGGTCTAGAGTCTCTCTGCCGGGGGGGAAAAGAGGCGTAGAGATCAAAGTGCCTGAGAAGTGCTGTGACCGGCTAGATCCTGGCTGTGGCGTGTTACACGACGAGACGAACGACACAGCTTTACCAGAGGATTTTTGGATTTCCGGGCTGTTCAATGCGCCATCCAGACTCTGCATACTCTTACCGCTCTTAGGAGTAGACCTTGCGGTCATCCTTTGCTTCGAGGCATCCATTTGAGAAGCTGACAGAACCAGATTGGCTGGTCTCACATCGAGACCGTCTGCCCATGGAGCCACACTGCTTGAAGGTTCGACAGCGGAATCCTCCACAGCTCTACCCTTGCCATTTCTGCTCTCACTGCGCCGCTCTCGGATACCCATCGCACTACGGTTTCTGACTGCAGGGCTACGAAACAACCCTCCGGCTGAGGAGTCTCTCCGTGGGTGGGCTAAGGCCCCAGCGGTGGCAGTCAATGGATAATCAGTCCCCAACCGTCTCTTTTGTAGTACACTACCAGTATCTATATGCAACGGCGATGGCCCATGCGAACGGGGTGCCTGATCATTTGTGCCATCTTCATCCCTCCAGTCCGCTGGAGTCGGTGGTACCGTATCAAGGCTAGTTCCTGTGCCAGGCGGACGTCTGGACCGGAATGGAAGCGTGGGTACCAATCCGGAAGACGGGCTTTCCATAGGTCGATTTAGACTTTGTGAACGCGCAGATGTTGGGGGAGGCCCTGGTGGAGGCGGTGGCAGGGGCATATTCGGCTCCCAGGTGACTGGACTAGGTGAATGACTGCTGGAGCGCGACGATCCCCCAGCTAGGCCTATTCCACCTGTAGATGCAGCCCTTCTAGCTGCTGGTGGGTGTACCATTGGATCGTTGTGTTTAGCTGAGGATGCTTGAGCAAGCATTTGAGCTGTATGATCCTGCAGTGCATCAATAGCATCACTGGCCAATGATACTTTCGAGGCTTTTCCTCTCAAGGTCAATGAAGAGAGTAGACGATCTGCATGGTTCTTGGAACCTGCGCGTATCCGCTGCCCTGGTCCTGGAGGAGGAGGAAATGAAGGCGCCGATGCAGCGTTTGGAGACTGATTTGGAGATGTGTGTTGGCGTATCAAAGGGGACCGACCCCCAGGAAATCGTGGGACAAGGTCCGGCGACAAGGTTGTAGCGGCGCTCACTGGCGTACCGTAACGTGAGGATTCGGTGTCAGGTGATGTAGTATCGGCAGGAGAGATAATATCTGAAGTGCGGCGTGGTGAGTCCTGAGGTTGTTGATCTCGACGAGGTGAATACGGTGGTGGTGGAGAAGCGACTGGTTCTATACCGGTCTTCATCAGTTGGGTCCTGGCCAGATAGGATTCACCCTTACCATCAGGTCCCACAAGACGGGGAGCTAGGTGTGCTGTCCTCGATGATTGACTTGTCTGCCTGTGCTCTCCTGCCATTGACATTGAATTGGGGGAGATGTTGACGCTGTTCACCGCACCCCATTGTTGAGGATTGTAGTGACCACTGAAGCCAGAAGCGGACCGGGAGGCCGTGGGCGATGCTCCTCTCATGGCTCCACCTGGAGATGGATATGCAGAGAATGGGCTACTCAGAGTAGTGCTGGAGATGGGTGTCTGTACCACTCCTCCAAGTCCAAGTCCAAGACCAGCGTTGCGTGCATTTCCCAGACTTGTCGTGAGGAGGTTTGGGGGCTGGTTGGGGGTCTGACGCCGTCGAGGAGGTGTTTCTATTCCTGCTGGTCCTCCCGAGACGTTATACGGGTGAGGCAGACTCATATCCACTGGGCCAGGGGTCAATAGAGGCCTCACAGCAGGCCTCTGTTGGCTATCGCATCGACAGGGTCACCAGGGTGAAAGTGGGCTCAAAGGCAATGCGATTTGCCAAATCAACCAGGGTCAATGGAGAGGACATGCTGCAGACACAGAATGCGCACCGCAAAGCAAAGGCAGGATGAAAGAAGCGCGAGATTCCAATGTGCCATTTCTGGCGTGCAATTGGTGGGAGAGTTCTAGATCACATGCCATGAGGGAGGGCGTTCTATTCTTTGCATCAGCTAGAGCCAAAGGGTTCTGCTAGGGCGGGAACTGGAGCATCAGGGGTTGGCATGGCTGGCCAATGGGAGGATAGGTCACAAACCCTGGGCGCTTACGGAGGTCTTGGCGGGCTTGGACATTTGCCGATACTTTACACTTGACTTGCTCTCAGAATTCTGCGTGAGGAAGTTCTGTTAGATCGTGACACATCTCGGTGGTAGAGGCATCATCCAAGTTCTAGCGCGTATATAATCTTATAGCGTGGTAGTCGGAGCTCAACCTTCAAAATCAATGCCATTCCTATCCGATACTGTCGTCTTCCATCCGCCAGGTTCTCTGATAGAACAGTTGAGCTCTTGCTGTTTGTCTATCTGCCCCAATGCACGAAGTCAACGTGAGACCCAGGCATTGTTTGTAGCACCCCATTCCTGTCCAGCGTCGTTTCCAGTAGCATCAACTCCCTCGACCGTGTCTGCAGATGCATTACCAGCGCCCCAAGCATCCATTGCAGTACCCCAACCCGGCCCAGCGTCGGAGTCTGCGACTATTCTCGCGGCTGCTTCAGGGTAATGCGCCCACATATCATCGCTCGAGTACGGCGAAAAGGCCTCAACCATGCCTGGAGGAATTGTCTGCCTGTTCTTCTGTAGGACAACCAACAGTTCTTCGTCCATGACACCGGAGAAATCTTGATAAAAGGCTATGGTTGTAGCCTTGTGTCCCACGCGTCCGACACGACCCAAGCAGAACTTGTATTCAGCCAACGTGTCTGCCAGATCCGAGAAAATGAGCGAGCTCACACCATAGACATTGATCCCTCGTCCGCAGAGCTTCATCGTGGCGACCAGGACAGTTACATGTGCATGTTTGAACGAGAACATCGCTTGTTCGCGATAGACCTGCATCATGTCGCCGTGCGTCTTCTCGCATTTGATCACCATGTCTCCGGCGATGATGTTTTCGAGTATGTCAACATCTTTCTTCTTGCGGAGTAGAATGAGTGTTTTGCCTTCGCGTGGAGAAGACTGTCCGAAATGAATGCCATGGAGTTAGCCAAGCTTTTTTCCGTTGCGACTTAGCTTCGGTCTGACCACTTTGCCATACTTGACGAATTGTTGATTGACAAGAGTGTAGCACTGTGAGGCGTCCTCCTTCGGATGGTCGAAGTCAATTTCATCGTAGTGGCCTTATTCGAGGCGCATAAACCCCTCAGCTCTAAGACTCTGCTCCTTCGAGTACTGGGAAGAGAAGTACCAATGGTAGAGGTGTTTCTTGGTTGGGAGGCGCAGTTCAACCTCGTCGACTTCGTCTTTGAATGTCTTCGTCTTGGACATCTTCGACGAGACATCTTTTAAGGATTCCGACAGTAGTTCATCGGCCTCATCGTAGACAATGAAACTCAAATTATCCAGAGAAAGGATGTCACAGTACTTCGGGTTGCCGAACTGCAGTGCCTTCTTCCTCAGGATGGCTAGGAGTCGTCCAGTTGTAGCAACCAAGATATCGCAGCCTTGGCCGAGCTTGTTCATCTGGTGCACTGATGGAGCTCCACCGTACACCACGCAACAACGGACTTTCTCATTCCAGCATTAGTCAAGCAGAGTGGCATGAATCTCAATCGCCAGCTCGTGCGTCGGTGCAATGATCACGTCGAATGGCTCAGCCATCCCCACCGGACTTGCATCTTTTGGATGCGAGGTCTAGTCTGCAGGAACTCTACCAGAGGGATTCCGTACGACAAGGTCTTTCCCGCACCTGAAGTGTATAAGCCCATAGTTCGCGGAGATTAGGGACGTAACTTACCGGTCTCCGCCTCACCGAGACGCGTACATAGATGTATGTATACATTATTGCATTCATGAACACATAGTGAACGTGCTATCACTGAGAAAGTTAGTCAATAAATGCGAAGCCGAGCAAAGAGTATTAGATAATTACGAAGGTGTATTCTGTTGCGAGGTGACGTAAAAGTCGGGAGCTTTGGAGCTTGATGACTTCTGTAGAGAACTCGCGCGTCAGTAATGTCTCGGGGCTCCTGAAGGTGAAGAGGGTTGCATGGGGAGAATTCTGACTGAGCCAAATTGAGAAGCAATACCAAGGTGACAAGCTATACTGAGTGAACGTTGCTCACTTTGCCAGAGCAATTGATATCATACCGTCTGACGATCGAACAGAATTTGGCTTGCGCTTTGTGAGTCGAGGGTGGGAGTCGAATGAGAAAACCAGGGGGAGGTGATCTTGACTGCAGTGAGAGATTGGGACTGGGATACGGCTTACTTTTGTCTGCTTGGTAAGCTCCGGATAGGACTATGATCTATAAACCATGTTATGATCAGGTATGACGAGTGTAAAACGAAGAGATTGAGTGATGTTGATAGTCCTGAGGTGGTGTTGTCGTGGAGTGAATAAAAGAAGAAGTTGGGGTAGGCGTGAAAGGGTTTAATGAGGTCTGTACAGGTACACAAGGATGCCGCCAAGTGGCGCTAGTCCTCGATTCACCTGGCAAAATAGAAAACCTCAGCCACGAAGACTCGATGAACCCGGCAACACAAAACACTTCAGTCACAAATATCCCATCAAATCGCGCTAGCCCTGGAGCGTTGAGCATTTTTGTGACATCAAGTCTCCGTAGCAAGTTGAATGAAGTCTAGTTTTCATTAATAGGTACCTGGCACGTCTATCATACAATGGTAGCACGATAGCTTCCATATCTCCTTCCATCCCTGCGAGATAAGCCTAAGCTCGCGTCCACCTGTAAGATGTACCAGTCTGGCCAGGAGCACCTTCTATGATACATGACCCTCTCAGCGAAGTCGTTAGAAATATTAAAGGTAGTCTTGGTATGGCTTTTAGAGCCAGGCCCAAGCACCTTGTCAGCTCAGCTGCCAAGGACAATGTGGGCTATGAAGAGAATATAGAATCATCCGCTTAGCGACATGCTGAGAGAATCTAATCATGAAAAATGCTAGAGGATGTGTACGGGTATGCAGGAGGTGCTGCTGGGTGATGGGCCGGATGTCATAGTCTATGCCTTCGTCTCTTCTTCTTCGCCATTAGGTTGTTGTTCTGAAGAGACGCCCTCTTGTGTTGTGACACCATCGGGATTTTGAGTCTTGACGTAATCGTTGAAGACTGCAAGTGCCTCATCGACTTTCTCGCGCAACTTGTCGTTATCGTCAATCCTAATTTTGTCAGCACGTGAAATCGCTCATTGCGATTAACGGGATTACTCACAAAGACATCAATTCTGGGTTGTCCATTTCCAGTAGCATGCCAGTAATCTTGCCAGCCAGATCTGGCTGCAGGACTTGGATCTTGGGGTAGATTGCTTCGCCAAGTAGTTGCTTTTGTTGGTTTGGCGGTGCCGCGGCAAGAGCTTCGAGAGTGGCAGACGGTGCTCCAGCTCCAGATGCCTGTGGCATACCTTGTTGGCCAGCTCCGAATCCCATAGCTCCACGTCCCTGCTGTGGGAATCCACCCATCTGACCTGGCTGTATACCCATGTTCATGCCCATGCCGCCACGACCTGACTGGCTGGGGAACTGTTGGGGACGGCCATCTCTACCGCGCATACCTTGAAGACCCATCATCTGTTGCGGCATTCCCTGGAGACCCTGCATACCTTGCATCTGCCCGCGACCACCTTGCGCACCGCGACCTAATTGCGCTTGTACTTGTGCTAGAGCCTGAGGATACGCCAGACCGGTGGGGAAACCGCCAGGACCACCTTGAGGCATGGCACCGAACGGCACCTGTCCAGGCATACCGAAGGCTTGAGGTGGCATTTGCTGTTGATTCATAGCACCACGGCCACCTTGTTGAGGCTGCATGCCAGAAAATTGGCCACCACGACCACTCGGCATGCCCGGAAGCATCATGCCTTGCTGGGGTCCGAAAGGCATTCCACCGCGCCCAACGTTGGGCGCTACAATGCCAGGCTGCTGGCCGGGGCCGTAGAACATCGCAGGCTGGATGAATTGTTGATTTGGCATTCCCGCGGCAGCGGCAGCTTGCTGCATACGAACAGCGTTACGTGCTTGAATGCTCTGTTCCAATTGCGTCTTGCGGACTTCCTTGCGCATAGCCACTGCAACGTACAGTGGCTTTCCATTCACCATCTTCTGATGGAAGTCGGTAACGGCTTTCGTAGCTTCGTCGGCATTGCTGAAGCAGACGAAACCAAATCCCTTACTCTTGCCGAGTGGGCGCTTGGTGGATTTGGCGGTGTCCTTCTCGCTATCTTCTTTCTCGTCATCTTTCTTTCCGCCATCCTCCTCTTCAGCCTCTTTCGTGGACTCTTTCTTGTTCTCTTTGCCCTTCTCACTGTCTGGAGAATCGGTCCTATCAGGCCCAGAGTCTCGCATGACTTTCGCAGAAGTGACCGTTCCAGCACCTGCAAAGATCTCCCGGAGCTTCTCATCATCGATATCATCGTCCAGGTTTTTGACATATAAATTCACGCCTTGATACTTGGACGCCTTCTCGACACGGGCCGCCTCGTGCTGCTTACGAAGCTCTTCCTCACGCTCAGATTTCTTCTGTGCACGACCGACGTAGAGGACTTGGCCTTTAAAGTCTTTGTTGTGCAGCTCGTCCACGGCAGTGGCCGCATTTTCGTGATTGATGTAGTTGACAAAACCAAATCCACGGCTCTTGCCCGTTTCCGAGTCTCGAGCAATGGAAGCTGACGTGACGTCTCCATATTGTTCAAAGAGTGCTCGAAAGTCTTCGTCTGTCACCTCAGGCTCAATGTTCTTCACATAGATGTTGGTAAAGTTCGCTTTCATCTCATCGAACTTGCTGTCGCGGTCCTTCCTCGGAATGTGGTATCCCACGAACACTTTCTTCTCGTTCAGCAACATACCGTTTACGGACTTGATGGCGTTTGTTGCTCCCTCTCCAGTCTCGTAATGAACGAATCCATAGCCCTTGGAATTCCCGAATTCATCCTGAGCAACTTTGCAGCTGAGAATGTTACCAAAAGACGCAAAAGTGTCATGCAAGGCTTTGTTGTCGATGGCAGTATCCAAGTTTTTGATGAAGACGTTCCCTTGACCAGTCTTGCGCAGAGCAGGATCGCGCTGGGACCACATGATACGACAAGGACGCCCCTTGATGACAGTGTAGTTCAGCTCCTCCATGGCGCGCTCGCCGTCCGCAGTGTTGTTGTAGTTGACGTAAGCATATCCGAGTGAGCGACGAGTCACAGCGTCGCGACAAACACGGATTGAAGCAACTTGACCGATAGAAGAGAAGAGCTCGAAGAGCATAGCCTCGGTCACGTTGGGGTCTAGCTCACCAACGTAGAGTGACGCAGAGTGAGGCTGGTTAGCTCCGCCTGGAGCTGCAGAGCTTGGAGTTTGGAGGGCGTCTTGATCGCTTGGAGACTGTGGCCCACCAACGCTAGTGTCGATACCGTTGGGCAGTCCGTTGGTAGGAGCGGATGACTTGTCATCGATGGAAAGCTTCTCAAGCGAAGGCGGGGAGCCGGAGGCAGCGTCGGCAGACATGGTGATGATACTGTTATGCTTGCTTTTATTAGTACGGTTGGGGGACTATATGCCAGAGGAGCCTGCAGCGACCGAAGTTTGTAGAAACTTCGTGAAGCGACTGGGAAGAAATGTGTTCAGGACGTACAAGGATTGAGCTGGTCAATGTGGACCGGTATGAGGTATGAAGAGGGTGGAGAGGGGTGCTGGATGATGCAGTGTTAGTTAGAAGCAACTAGAGATGACCTTCTGCCACGAGATAGATGGAGAAGTGTGCAGAAGTAGCTTTGGTGGAGCCTGTTGCGCGGTCAAGTGACACTTACACAGCTTCAGTTTACTATTGATTTTTTGGGGGTGTTTTCAAGTTTTTTTCTGATGTCACGAGGGTTTTCTGGTAGGGGAGGAGTGCAAAGATAGAGGAACGTGTACGATGTATGTTCCAGACGGTGGACGTGGTGTTGTGTTACTTATAATGTGAGAGCAAGCTGCAGAAAAAAGAGATTATCGTGAAAGAGGAAATTCTTCTCTAGCGTGTCCGGCTAGCATGGCAAGACCGACCGATATTTAACCGGTAACTTTTTACCTTTGTTTTCTCCTCAAACGATTACAGCAACTACAATCATAAATTCTTTCTTCAGTCGGATTCAGCTATACCTTTTTCAAGTATATGGGTTTTTGACAACGAGGTTCATTGTGGAGGCTTGTCGCAGAATAGGTGGTGAACTTCATATCTGACATATTGCCCAATGTCTAGCCCTTTTCGACGAAACTTTCACTCAATGTACTTCAACGAAGCTCCGATCAGCTCGAAGACTAGGTGAAGAAATATACAGACCGCAATGTGACATCAACGCCGTCCTCCTAAGACTAGATTGTAGCGACTTCCATTAGTAGCCTCTTCACTGACAGCGGAACACTGTGGTGTGGCGGATATAAAAAAATTAAGCCCGAGGATTATATTAGAAGTAACACCGTGCGCGTACCTATCTGGTGCTTGAATTCGCCTTAATAAGTCTTGTGGCGAATTAGACCACAACAAGATTCTTTCGATCACTGTCATCGAGCATGTTACCTCTGTGTCACTTGCAAGTTTTTCCTCACCCATCCAGGGCCGCCTCGCGATCCGAAGTCCAGCAGTAGCAATGTTTCCGTCCTTTACAGGCAGCACACGGCCCAAGCGACAGGTGAACCTCTCAGGTCGTAACAACAATCCTTTCGCTGCGTTACCTGGCTCTCGAACCTCCTCATCCCCGCAGACCGCGCAAAATGCGCTCGCTCAAGCTCAGCATGAGCGGATATTGAGACAGCAAGAGAGGGAACGTCCACCTGCGGCGACTAAAATTCAGAAGACATGGAGAG